TTTTGTCTGAGAAATGCAACTATGTGAAATGAAAAATAAATAAATAAAAAAACAATGAATTTTTTACTTATTTTACTGCAACCCGAACTACAAAAATACTGTTGTAATATGTGAAAGAAAAAATTTCGCACTTCAAATAACTTTCACAATTGCTTTTCGTATGAAACATTACATTTTGCAATTGTAACGAATCGTATTCAAATATTTTATTATTCTTTGCCTCAACCCTTGCCAATATGTCGATTTTTATTTATTGGTTCAATAATTCACGCATTATCTGCAGCAAAACGACAAAAGCAATAAAACGCAATAAATGTAGAAAACAGCAACCCTTTCAACGCTTCTCTCATTATGCCGGGTACGTTAACGTATCAAATTGTAAATTCCCCAATTTGGGCAAACGTAAACGTAAACTCCAAAAAGAAAAGAAAAACTTGCATTTTTAGGTTCTTCCCCTAGGTGTAAAATCATAAATTAATAAATCTTCAAAATACTAGTGGATTGGATTAGCAAATAATAATAAGTCCTGCAGAAATCGAAAACATATTTAAGTAAATTTGCGATTGTTATCTGACATGTTTTACCTAATACCAGGCGTTGTAGTTTAGTGAACCTACATGTAAGCAAATATAAATAGTATAAAACATATGTAGAATACAAATGTTTGCTCATATTGTCAGTCAGGTGATAGTATTCCTGTTTTTCTTTTTATTTTGTTGCATATTGTAGATTTTTAATGCAAAGTAAGAGTTTATTCTTTTGGAAATGCATGTAATTCAAAAGCTTTTAGGATTATAGCATTATTTTACGCATCACTACTAATAATCAGAGATTATCAGATTAGATTACCAAATATTTAAGTAATAAATTGAAAAAGATTCAAAATTTTGACATTTTTTGAACATTGTTAAACTTATTTTTCTATAAAAGTAAATAGTTCTTGTTTATTTGTAAGAATTTAACAATAAAAGTAACAAATTCACGTCAATATGAAGTACTCCTACCTCGAGGTATGTACACACACCGCTTGCTCCCTAAACTACGTACGTTAGGGCCCTTTAAACCGCCAGCACCCGTTGGTACTGGAAGGGGACCATGAACGCTATAAATCCAAGCACCCCATGACCGCGAGCCCTAGTTGCAAAAAAGCGGCCGGCCTCTCTTGTCCCGATGCATGTACACATTAAACGAGTAAAGTGAACCAACGGCATGTCTTTGGTACGCCACAACAACTCCTACGAGATGTCTTCGTATGACGACAGCTCCGACTCGGGTTTCGAGATGTCCTTCGTCTCCAAATCGGAAACCATCACGGAATATGATCATGGCAGTGATTTCATCGACTTTGACATGGACCAATCACCTCAGGATCGATTATTAAACACTCCAAGGAAACAACTACTCTACGAGAGATTCAGCAGTGCTTTTCACAAAGGTGCCAATCCAGAGGAATATGTTTCGGACGTGCAGGTAACACCTCCACAGAATTGGGGGTATGAAGAGTTTAATAAACCAAATATACCATCGACAGTTACAACTGGATTAGTTGTAAATCGTAATTTGTTTCCTGGAGAGCCTACAGAAGAAGATTTTCAATGTTTAAATGCAAATATGACATCAACACCTCAAAAGTCTTCTTCTAGAAGTGATAAAACTGATAAAACTGAACAAAAACCAAAGAGACGCTATGCAACTGGCAGAAACCGTGTATCAAGAGCAAAAAGTCCTTCGCAAATCATGAAAATAAAACGCACAAGACGCATGAAAGCAAACGACCGGGAACGTAACCGAATGCACATGCTCAACGAAGCTTTAGATAAACTCCGAATGGTCCTACCAGCATTCCCCGAAGACACAAAACTAACCAAAATAGAAACACTGCGTTTTGCACATAATTACATCAACGCCCTGGGAGAAGCATCCAAAGACATCGATAAATATTCCAACGGTGATAATCTAATCATACAAGTTGGTAATGTCACCGTGGCCATCAATAAAGACGGCAACAAAATCACTCAGGACCAAAATCACTCGTCTCATCAGTATTTCAGCACGGCGGTTGTGACGAGCGGAAGCATCACCAACGCCAGCTTCATGCAGGATTACAACGAGCCGAATCATTTAAAGTACAATTCGTATTCGTCCTCGTCGCCAATGATGGACGATCTGTATGAATCTCCGGCGAAGGCAACAAAGTATGACTATCAGTGTGCTAATCCTAACTATGAGAATTATTACCATCCTAGTCATCATAGTCATCATAGTCAGCATCATGGCGGCCAGGATTACTACAACTATGACAAGTTTCAACATTATAATAACAATGCGATGTTTGAGTGCTTGTAATAGGAGTAAGTGTGTTGTAAACGATGATATTGTGCAAAATGATGGATCGATGCTAGTCAATATGCAATGTGAATGAATCTACATAACAATAGTGGGATAAATTGTGTATATTTAAAATTTGCAGATGGAAATTTATTAAAATTTAATGTATTTTTACGGGAAAATATCAAAAGAAAACAAAAAATACTTAGTTTTAATGAAAAAATTAGAAATATGTTAAATTTTAATCAAAATGGCGGATTTTTGCAAGTTTTACATGACAATAATGATATAAATTGTTATATCAAAAATTTGCAGATGTAAATTTACTCAAATTTAACGTATTTCCTTGATAAACATTCATTAGAAGACAAAAACACAACATTTTACTATTTTTTGTTTCCTTTTGATGATAAAACTCTTTAAAATAAAACTAGGTTAAATTTTAACCGAAATGGCTGACATTTCTGCAAATTTTAAATATATTATCACATTAAAGATGCCTTTTCAAACGCCTTGTATACAAACAAAGATAAAAAGATGTATTTTATAAATAATTACAAATTGTATCAAAGATTTCTATTTTTTACAATAAAAGCTGTGTTATTTAAATATTTTTCTGGATTAAACCCGTGTTTATTATATTGGATTTGGCTGGTAGTTGGTAGTTTGGTAAATAATGTAATATTTACAGAGCGATAATACGCTTGTAACAAGCGGAACTATTTGCTGCCATTCGCTCTGATTTCACGGTGGCAGTGCGTGCACCCCAAGCGCATTGTCGCGCGCTGGTATTTTCGTCACTGGAATTTAACAAAGGCGCGCCGCGTTTATGAACAGATACGTTACATTTTCCGAGCCGGGAGGTTTGTTAGGCACCTGCGACAACGCGTCATAGTCGGTGCGGTCGCGCAGCTCGGCGATCAGTCATTAAGAACTGCCTCTAAATGCACACGAGTTTGAAATAATACGGGTGAGTTTAAGATAAATTTTTAAAATAAAAGCCAATCAAATCAAACCAAGGTGGTACGCAAATAGAAAAAGTTAAGGAAATTTGTATAAAAATTTTGTTTTTTCTTGCATTTTTACGATATTTCTGGCATTACTAAAATTTGTGGTATTGGTTTTAGTAAAAATATGTGCAGCTAAAGTTGATTTATATTTATTTCATAATAGCTTTCGCATTTCTGTGGTAGCGGCTAGAATATTTTCAAAACATGATAATGAGTACAGTAAACGTTTGAGATATTGTTGTATTGTGAGTCGCGTCCCTACAAATTGCAATGCAAATTTCAATAACTTAAGCACGATTTTTCAGCTTCAATTTGTTGGTGCGTTGCGTGCACAAAATCATTTAAACAAAACACAAGTGAATACAACTGAGCGACGCGGAATTCATATTTAGACTTCAGGAAATATTTACCGGCATTTTTCCTATCATAATTGAGTTTATAACCAGCTTACGAAAAATTAAACACCTAAAATCCCAATATTTATATACAAAAATTAAATTTTTAAACCAAAATTAAATTTTCTTTGATTTTTTGGTAAATATTTCAAAATCCGGATCTGTAATAAATTAATCACCCACCCGGTCACTTCTACCACCAGAACTCTGACTGACAGACCCAACAATACACGAAAATTGAACTCATTGCACCATGCGTACTTGAAAACTCCTCAAACTACTCAAAAATGTTATAAACACGCAGCGGCAGTAAAGTCAAAGCAGAACCCCCGCTTCCTACATATTTCAATCGCTCCTGTTTTGCTTACCTACACATGTACGGCGTACAACGCATAACGAAAGTTATGAGCGCCTTTTTGTTCCGCTTTCGCTCCGGTTATCTAAGCCCTAAAAGTATGCGTTAGACGAAGGGGACGCGTGCACCTGTTAATCTACCCACCGACGTAATAGCAATCGTAACAGATTTAAAGTTGGCCGAAGTAATGGCAGCCAAAGCCGAAAATGTATATAGGTTCTTAATGTGAATTTTCACGCACCGCTTGTTCTTTATAAAAAGTAGCTTTATTGTAATTAGGGTTGTAGTAGAGTTATCATGGTGCAATCGGCAACAATGGCGTTAAACATAATGCGTTCCATTCATCATCGAATGGCGTAATATTTTGATAAGAGATACGCATCGCGCCCGTGGAGATTTCAGATGAGGTGGAGATAACCGCTGGTGCAGTGCATTGTGCAAACAAATACTTGAACAAATTGCCATCGGATTGCAGTTGTTATGAAACTTATGGTCATCATTTTTCTGAAGTGCAGAAGTATCAAGATATTTATCTCAGATAATGAACAATGAACAGTATTTAATTAATAGTTTCTCAAAAAAAATTTTAAAAAAAATTACGTGATTTACGTTGCAAAATTTGACATTTTTAAAGAATTATTTAAAAAAATTAGAAATTTATAAATTAAATCTATACATATAAAAATGAATTGCTGTTCGTTAGTCTCGCTAAAACTCGAGAACGGCTGAACGGATTTATCTTATCTTGGTCTTGAATTATTCGTGGAGGTCTAGGGAAGGTTTAAAAGGTGAGAAAAATTCGAATAATTGCCGGGATAATCCTCAAAACAGCTCTTTTCTATAGAATAAAATTTGACATTGAGATTCAATCATAGTTATAGTTAAATAGTTGAATTCGAGATGGCGCGCTGAAGTGCATTATTGACAAAACTTTATATGCATAATTTCTTTAAATTAAAATTGCTAATCTTATTGATAGAATTGACTCTTACTACGAGTATGTCTAGAACAAGAGAGTAAAAACGAATTACATTTTTATTAAACACTGCCGGAACGAAGTCGTGGGCAACAGCTAGTAAAAAATAAAAAAATAAATGTGTGAGACAATATTTTTATTGCTTTCACACGAATTTTCACGTATTCACGTCTAAAGCACTAAAAACACAATAAAACCTATTATATTATTTGAAGTATTTAGTTTTCGTGATAATCCACACTTAAAATGACAATATACGATGATACCTCTCAAAATAATCTAATTATTTCATGTGGTTTAATGTGATACTACTCAGTGTATTTTAAAGACTTTATTTGAGGTTATTATTGGCCTATTAACACGTTTTAGTGAATTATTGCCTGTTCCCGGATGTATAACACGTGCCTACTCCACAAGACACGCGACCGGCACGTATTTCACGCCTGGACACCAAAACACAACACCGCCATCTTATTATACCAAACTCTGCAACCCTACGCGCGCCATATTGGTACATTAGCGGTATCAAAACGTCGGCACGCGTCGTGGTGTCCGTTACAAGTGTCTACACGTGCCAACATAAGTATTAACCTACTTAAATAAATGTTAAAATATGAAAATATTGAATATTTTGATTATAGGTTATGTAAAATGGTAAATTTTTATTTTTCATTGCACAATGCATGTACCAGCACTTAATTTGATGGATAGCATCGCGTAAAACCGGGCCGAGTATTTAGCAAGACAATAGGTGCTAGTTTGCGTAGCTCGCAGCATCGCGTCCTCCTCCCTCTTCCGCCATTGTAAACAGTAAAGAGCTTATAAATAATAAAAGTTTTGTAAATGCGCGTATCCACCCCTAGGTCATTGCCGAGTGCAGTAGTTTTGCACACTGACAATACCCCACGTCATAGCACCCCCTAAGTATATATACAGGGTGTTATAATATAAAACAACCCTTAATTTGAGACCTAAAAATGATTTGTTTTGTTTGTTGCAATAGGAAATGCAACATCCAATAGGTGCGAATGTGTATGTAGGGTAGACACATCAAAGTTGCACATAAAAATTTAGGGTTTTCGCCCTCCGGGGTAAAGCTGTGATAATCCCTCGTATGGGGTGGATTAGACCCATTGTCCCACCGCTAACTGCATAACATACATAACCAAATATCCATAAGAACCGCACGGAGAAAATGCCCCGAGAGACTTAACTTCGCGGATGGAATACATCAAGCGTGCGCGGGGATGTTGTGCGTTTTTCTATTGAGCTAGTGGTTGGCTCTAAGGAATTGCCAATCAGTATATTTATGGACGTCGTTTATGTGTCGGCTTATGGATAATTCACGAGTAGAAATTTATTTTGTGGTTATTATCAGAAATAATCAATTATGAAATTTTACAAATATTAGTTCCTTTTTATTTTAGAAATTTTTGTTTTAACAGTATGAACCAACGTGATTCGAGACACATTTATGTTTAACTCGCTTTAACCCTTGGCTTCGCTCGCGAATATCTAAAATAATGAAGTTGCTTCCGTACGCGTCTGTAGTCACAGAAGAAGTAACAATGAAGTAGAATGGCGGGAAGTTTAAAATGGCTGAAAGTATAGTCTATGGAAGTATAGTGTACAGTCTCCATAGTGTAGTCAATTGGATTTGATGTTGACGTAGCTGTCGGTAATACAGTGTGATAATACAGTGTGATGGTACTATAGTACTTAGGTTTGAGCTTCATTGCTGGAATGCTAGATGGCGTTAAAGTAGTCAAATAGCCAGATGCAGAGGTATTATTGGCTAAACTATTTCTTTATTTTATTTAAAAAATATTTTTTTTGACGTGATAACGTCTTTAAAATCGTTTTAGTCGGGTGACATGTTCAGAAACTTGTGTCACGAGGCCTCACGAGGCCGATCGCTATAACGAGAGAGAGACGGACTGATCTCCCGTCTCATCTCGAGCGCTGCCAGTCATTCCGTGAAACTTGGCACGCGGAATCCACACGAGCGGAGGCAGGCATAGTGTTCGAGTGAGTGGACCGATCTTCCGTCTCTCTCACTCTAGCGGCATACAAACGAATGGAGATTTTCTCGTGCGGTTAAGTTTTCGTTGAATGTTTAACAGTAAAACAAAATGTGAAGTGCAAATGAAGTGTTACAACAATTGCAACAAACAAAACTTATATCACCAATAAGACGTTATCACGTAAACATCTCGATCGTAAACCTACTTTACAAACAACCATTTTTTTTTATTAAATAAAAAGTAGCCTATAACCATTCGGGGACCACTAAGAATTTGTGTAGAAATTTTCATGATGATCGGTTAAGTAGTTTTTGCGTGAAAGTGTAACAAACATCAGGACTTTCGCATTGATAATATTAGTAGGGATATACATAATACGCGTAATAAGACCAACAATACAAGAGCAATGTAAGAATGAATGGTGATTACCTGGAAAAAGCCGCCAGAGTCGAAGAATACGCCATGAACTGCATTAACTAAGATGAATCGAGTTGTAAACGGTGGAAGATGCACATTGTACCTGTTCGCGCACACCAGAACAAAAACACACTGCGTTGGAACAAATAAATAAACAACTGTGAAGCAAAAGATGAGATAAGGCAAATCGCGTGAGTCAACGACGCGTGCGCGCATCGATGCAAGAGCAGTCAACTGAGTCAAGGACGTGCGCAACAAGAATAAGCGACATGCGCACCAAAACACCACCAAATTAAAATACTCTATCAATAAAATTTTCTCTAAAATCAATATTCTTAGAGAGTACCCACTCATTTGTTACTCTCCAACTCATTTTTACTAATTTTTAACTTGTATTTTACTCACGCCGTATAAAATTACACTGTTTAACTCTACATTCGTGATTTGTTTGATTAGGTGTCCGTGTTGACAGTACTGACCGCCTGTTAATTAGAAATTTATTGATTCGAAACAAATAGACGATTGTTCAAACTCAAACATACATTTGACCATAAAAAGGATTGATTATTTATTTAATTATTCATACGTTTTCGGTCAAGTGTTGTTTCACAATTTCATACGCATAACCAATGCAAATAAAGATTACACGGCCAACTAGAATCCTACTAGAATACTAGTATTGCACTGGATCACTGGAGCAAGCATCATCCCCCTTGCTGCACAAAAGCAAAAAGGCTCCAAGGCGTCTCTGCCGATCCGAGCGCTCCAACGCACCAGCCAGACTTTACCCCCAAGCGCCAATTATTTACTCCCTTTGAATAATTCAATTCGTTTTCATGGCCATCTGTCCGTTTTCTCCATTCCCCGCCACGCAGCGCGATCAATTCCGATTTGTGGATATAGAGTTACACGCCGCATGAGGTTTGCATGAACCTCGACTTACTTGTCTATGTTGACGGCGGATGTCGGCCATCAAATTGAAACCAACAAGTTCCGTCAAATCAACAAGATACGTTCACCCTCTTGAACTTTCGGAGATGCGAGCGAGTGTAAATTGATTATAGGTAAACAATGAGGAACACGTTGCGACGGTGCGGTAATACGTGTAATACATCATTCGGGACATCAGCCGATGAGATGGATCGTGCGATGCCAACAAGGTTTAATCAAGCGCGAATGCGAGTTTCCGCAGGATTGGCTTCGACGGGCGTGTTTTGCGCGCAAAAAATCATTTTTATCAACGGCAGACGCGAATTGAATGACGGCGGTTTTTTTCCGGGAGTAATCCGTATTAGTTACACATAAATTCATCTCATTCACGTGAGGCGTCAGTGCATAATGATGCATCTGGAATTAAAAACGACAAAAATGATTTTTTTCTAACAAAAAATATAAATTTGGTGATTTTTCAAACAGATGTGTTGCTAAAAACCAAAAAAATATTAAAATACTGCCATATTTTATGCTTAATTTAAGTAAAACTTAAATTTTTTGAATTAAAACGCCAAAAAACAACTTTTTTCACCAAAAAAACAAAAATTAAACCTATAAAACTAAAACACTTCAATATTTCAAGCTTAATTCAAATCAACCACCCTTTTTTTATCTCTTTCAACGATGCCACCGTGGAAAATTGCAACTTTCATCGTTGTTTACAAATTCTTTTAATAAAACCCCATTTTAAATAGCCATGAACCCTAAACAAACGCGCTACGCATCGGCTCAACACTTCATTATAAACAGAGATCGTGAATCGGCGTCAGTTAGTCATTAATCAGACATTTTATTGTCAACCCTTTCACCCTTCACCATTCTTGACACCCTTCCGCATCTTTTACCCTTCAATAGACAACTGAAAGCAACAAAACTATAAAATATTAACATTTTGTTTATTTAAAACAATAACAACTCATTGCTTCCCTTCCAAGCGATTTAAAATACCACCCTCTGGAATATCCTCGCTCAAAACGTCCTGCCACTTCATCAACTTCTTAGGAATCAATAAATCTTCAGGATCAACGAAGTCGATATCAGTTATATCGGGCAAAATACGCAATCCAGCCTTCTTATCTCTTTCAGTAGGTTCATTTCTCCGTTTCGCAACCGCCTTGTTTTTGTTGATCAACGTAGGCAACTTCAACACCGCCTCTTTCTGCTCGGGAGTCAACTCTAGATCAAACGGATTAATACGTGTCTTCGCGCGTTGTTGTTGATTCAATTCATACGTGCGACGCTTCACAACCATCAACTCATCCAGTTTCTTAGACAGCGCAGTGGTGATTGTTTCATTCCCCAACTGCAAACTGGTTTTTAAGATTGTAAAGTCATTCTCATCTAGATGATCATCCAATGATTGCGTTTTGGCCCACATGGCTGCGATTTTCTCTTTTATGCATTCAACATCGAAATGGTAGCGCATTGATGAACTGCTTTCGTAAAGATCTTCGGAGGATGCAGCACGAGGAGTGGCCTGGTTGTTGGTTTGACCAGGTGCATCGAAAGGGAGAAAGTTTATTTCTTCGTTAACTTTGTTTAGTTGAATCGGTTGTATAATTGGTTGCGTGTCTAAGGATAACACACTCCATTGATTTATATTGTAGGTTGATAAAGTTGTTGCTTGAGAACTTTCATGTAATAAATTAGCAGCCGCATTGGGATCATTTATGTTCTGAACATAATTATTCTCGCTGTAAACTTGATTTATTTGTTCAACAACTGTGTAATTGTTGATGACGGAATCTGAGCGTGGTTCAGGATATTCGTTGGATTCGATGTCAGAGTCCTCTCCCGGCGCGATCTCGTGTGAATTCAATGGCGTCACGAAGTTATTGTTCGTTAACTTTTCAAATTGAAAACTTGCGAAACCAATATCCATATCCATACTATCGTTTTGTGTTTTTTGTGTTATATTCATTGGAATATGCTTTTCAGGAATACTCACAGTTGTTTGATTTGTTTGATTAGTTTTACTTTTTTCAACGATTTCGTTGCAGGCTTTTACTAAATGCTCGACGTCGTCTTTAACTTGCGACTGGTGCCACCCTTGTGATCTGAATAACTCACGGAAACAGTTTAGCTCTTGTTTATAAAACGATGCACACTTGATTCGTGCAAGAGCACCTTGGTTGTAATCTGATCTGCGATTGTTTTGTTGCT